GGAATGGCTGAACATTGTCCAGGATCACTGCGGAGAGGCACGCTCAGAAGTATCAACAGCTCGATCATGGAACATCTGATTCTTAGTGGGCATCAGATTTTGACAAAAGATGCTTTCAAAGTCTATTACGCCGTACCGAGGCGATACCCGAAAGGGTTAAGGAAACGCCTCTTGCAGACAGCCGAAGCCATCGCGATCCGGCTAACACAACCAGAGCTATGCAAGCATAGGCTGCTTGTGCAACCCTTGACTTTGCCATGGCCCTGATGATGTTTCCCCGGAGTATCACCCATAATCGGGTGTTGTTTATTTATGTAATTAACTAATTTTATATGGTTAGTATTTTTGACTTTTCTGTTTACATAAGTTATTTTGCTGTCGGTTAGCCCTATCACGATGTCACCTGATTACATCGATTCCAGCATCAAACGAACATGTCACATCTGTTCAAACTGTTCCATCCGTCCTCATTGTTGGATTCACCAGTTTACTATTGCATTTATCAGTTTTGTAGTTGTAGTTGCCTGATGTGAAGTACCGAAAAGAGATCTCTTTGCAACACTGTGTTTTAATTAAAAGTAATAAAAATGTGGAGAGTTGAGCGTAGAAATATATCTACATATAGCCAACGGTACGAGTAAAGTAATTTGACCATCAGCGGAATCGCCTCCTATGGGGATCTGCTTCCATTCGCGGGGCAAATCCCTCGAGAAGTTTCATCCGCACTTCTGTGGCTCATCTGGCCATGTGCTGATGTGGCTTCAAGACAAGTAAGTCATCATCATCATATTGACTCGTTTTTTGAGTCAAGCACCCTCTTTTTCCCGCTAATGGGTCTGATAATTCGCTTTCCGTGTGTATAATTGTCTTGGAAACTTCAATCCGTCACCTCAGGGGATCGGCCCAGTCATGACCAACTGTGGAAAAAAATACTCTAAACTACTGTGAATAAATTGTATGTGCTTCTCTTGAATGAGATGTGATCTGACAGTTGTCTGTTTCCGTTAGTACAATCAAACGTTGGTTCTCGGCAGTGCATTCGAAGTATTTATGCACAGTACAGGTCCTGAAAGATTTTCAGGTGGTCCCATCAGGCGAAGCTGTCGAAGAAAGTTGCGACTGAAATCAAAGTGAATTTTGCCGAGTACGGGAAACTGCACCGTATATACCTGACGTGTGATCTTCAGGAAATAATAGAAGGTAATTCGTAGTGTAGGACGAATGCAAAAGAAATAAAATGCAAAAAACACGACAGAATTTCGCTTTGCAAAGCCTAGATGTAACTTTTAGGCGGGAAATGCTCTTTATTATAAAAAGTACTTTAATGTCACTGCTACACGTGGGGAATCAATTGAGTCGGGCGAAAAAGAGGAGACTGGGTTTTTATGTTACCGCGACAATTGCCGGGGGCTTGGCATTCGTTATCGTGGTACTTCATACGAAGAAAACGCTTGATTGCGTGTCACACAAACCGCTGTTAGCCTTACTTGAATCTGATGGAATCGTAATCCTCTGCTGAGCTGATTCCATCCATGCCTGAATGACCGATTTAAAGAGTACAGATGAGTCAGTGACGAGACTGGACCTTAACATGTTGCGGTTGTTTGCATACCTCCTTGATCCACTGAGCTACGCCGGACGGCACTGAATAAGTGCGTTCTGAACCACTCATTTCAGACAGATCAATAGTTGGGAGTCAGACTAACTCAGTCTCACAATCCTCTCCGCATAGGTCAGTGGCTCTCTTTCCATGGAAAGCAACATGTTTACAAGTTATAAGCTCACAGCTCGATTGGCGTAGAGCACGAGCGCCACGCATTGTCTCTGAAGGTGGGAAATCACCTTCTGGTGCTCAATGGTTTGCTATCGCTCGTCTCAAACCAGACAGCCCTTGGTTAGATCGGTGCAAATCCACCAACTCCAAGCTCCGGCTGGCCGTGATCGCAAATGCGTGACATACTACGGTTGGAAAACACATGTAACTCATTCTAAATCTTTGAAGGCTGCATGTGACGGACTTCAAGCCGCTCCCTAAATGTCTGCAATCACACTCTCAAACTGGATTTGCTGCTCACTGCCCCTCTGTGAGTTGGGCTATTGACACAAAAGCATCGGGTGGAACCCTTCAAAGGAACCTCTATGTGCCCCACTGCCTTACGAGTTGCACTGTTGAGTCAAAGGTTAGAGGCAGGGTATCTCTAACAAAACCTCTCTAGGTGGGTAACCAAGAAGTGTCATCTACCATTTCGACTCCGCCGACAATACTCTCTCTTTTTCTTCTTCATCGCTTAACCTTCTTCTTCCGCCTCCATTGAGCAAGCCTACCATTGACCCCGTAGCTGCTCCCATCGATACATGTGACTTGTTCTTCAAACCAAGGGTATCAATTCATCTTGGTTAGTTTAACATCCGCACTCTAATTCCACTCGGCCAACAAACAGCGCTAAATCTTACTCTTCACTCTCTAGGATGAAAGTTGGCGGAAGGAGTTCCATTTAAAGCTTTGGTGACGATTCCAAGAAACCCCCCTTTCCCGGGCAACGCAGGACGGAAGCTGATTTAAAACAAGTGGAGACTAGCGTCATGGGCAGTTCATAAGCTTCTATCCGCAGCTGCAGTAAGAAGTGTCAATGAGATCGCACTCGGCCTCGGAGGTAGGCGAGGATATCACTAGAGCGGGCATGGGATGACGGGTGTCAGGCACCTTATGAGTTATGTGACGAGGTGCTGATGTGAGGGAGTCGGTGTTATTTTCTTCCTAACGGGAACCGTAGGCGTCTGGAATTGTTGATGACGCAGCCGTAGCGGTTATGCGTCCATCATTACTGATGCAGCTTTCAAAGTAAGTGAATTGGTCAACTACCTCGAGTTCTTCGCTATCAAGTGCCAGGCGATCATCAAACAGAGGGTGATGCTCCAACGGCACCTTGCACTTTAGAAGTGCGAAGTGTATGCCAAATGATGGAACTACTCTAGATAAGTTTTTCGTAGTTGATTGGACCTCCCCAACATCGCTAAACAGCAAGCCAATATCGTCCGCATAGTCAAGAGCAACTAGATTTTCATCAGGTAGCACCACAACATCTGCGTTGTGAGGGTCCGCGTCTTAATTGATTCGACTCTTAGTCTGAGCAGACGAACGTTCTTCACAGATAGTACCCTACGCACACATAGTGGTCAATGGGATTCGGAATGTTGCGACCTAACGTGATCTAGCCGCCAGACGCACACAGACAAACTGGGACTAGAGACCAAAAAACGCGTACCCTAGCACACCACTGCACTGAGACCCAAACAAAAAGGAAAGACTGGCCATTAGCACGAGTTCTTTTATACTGACAGCCAAATCGAAGTATACCTTCTACACTTTTATATTGATGGCTCAATCGAATAGTAGTGTAATGCATAAAGTATAGAAAAGGGGTGGATGTCGGCGAACCGCATGAGTTGTCACCCAGTAATGGTGTCCTAAGGGAATCTCAACTACTGTCGTCCGTATGGGTTGGTACGGTAGTGTCCACAGCAGCTGAGGAGCTCAGGTGGTCCGCTGTGGCTTCACTCGATAGGTGCATCAGTGTCCTAAATAGTTTACTTGATTCACTACGGTTTGTCATCCATGTCCCGGAGACGGCACGGTTGTTACTAGCACAGTCTGAGTCGACACATAGTGATTGTATGTCTGAGGCGAGTCCGGCGAAATCTGTGCACATTTCGCGGAACTATGCGAGCTCCGTAACAGGAGCGTTTCAAAATGTAGTCCGCGACGAAGTTGAACCAAAACGGGGAAAGTGAGCAACCCCGCCACTTGTGATTAGAAAGGTGTCCGGCAACTCACCGTAGACCCTGATGCGACCTATGGTGTTCAAGTATGGGGTACGCAAACTGTTCAGCTATTTTAGATGGAACACCTTTCTGCTGAGTCAAGCGCACTCTTAAAGTGTGTATATAAATTTTGCAACAGTCTACGAATAGACATAGAGCCATCATAAACCCTGGGACTCAAAAGAAGGTACAGAAATAGTAAAAATAAACACAACACATAAAAGTCCATGGTTTCGTCAGAGGACGAGATACTACCCGGTTGCCCAAGCCGAAATAGGGTGTTGACTTAGGGGGACACCACCCCGAACCTTTGGCTGATATGTCTGCCCGTAAGGCAGCGCAGCGAATTCAGGGAATCGCGCCCATTGGGAGCCGGTGACTGATTGCTCAGTTCATACGCCTTTCGTTTATTCCTTTGTCAAACAGGGGCCCAATGCTTCCCAGAAGTACAGCATGATGTTGCTGGAATACAATGCTTCGCTCGGATGAAGCAAAGGACAGTGAGTTTATTTAGTGGCGAGTCACGTCCGCCACGTCACAGTGTTGTTAAACGGATATATGTGGCTTATTATAGGGAGAACGCTTGCCAGGCGAAAACCCACCACGTCCTGCAACACTGCCGCCGAACCATTTTCTGGAACAGGAAAATCCCGAACCACCCAGCTGGCACCACGAGGAGGTTGTTCGGCAAGTCAGCCGAACACAGCTGTTCCTGGTCTGCGGTAGCAGAATATGTACGGTGCTACAATATGGCTATTTGTACTGTATGTTTATCACGACGATGTCCACTGTGCATTGGTTCCAAGTGCTCGCGATGCCTTATCTGTGTTTGATTGTTGCGCTGCACGACTACCTTTGATACCCACTATTTGACTCTCTTGCGGAACACCTGACTGCTTTTACCGATAGCCATTCATCGGATGTTTGGTAATCACATCTCTCTATGCATCGGGTTGGGTGGATTGCAAAGCGATTGTAGGAGGCATCAAATGAGCTGCGTCAGATCAATCTCTTCTTCTTGATTTGGGCCTCATCGCCAACCGCCTACCCTACTTGGCTAAATACCTCAACCTACATGACAAATTTCAAGAGTTCAGCACGCTTTTGTATTCAGTTTCTTTCTTACTGAACTGTTTTCATCTTGTATTTGTCCATTTGCCTCTTTGCCTTCCACTGTTATGGGAACGCCACTGAAAGCAGTTGGGTTCAGTGCTCGTTGCAGTGTCCAGGCTGCATTTGCCAAATTGATGTGTGCTAACTTTGGCCCCTCCCTTTATTCGCACCCAGGTTCAATCGTCACATCGTCCCAATCCGCCACTACTTTGAGCGTCTCCTCTATTGGACCAGCAAGGACCACTGATGTCTCCGGAGCGGTCGGCGTGCCTCCAGGGAATCAACCCTTCTGTGTAAATATCCGACCTCGTCGTTTCCCAGATACGTTCATTCCAAGATCTACCGCTGGTCCGTCCGGTTGGACGATGGATTTTCAAACGGATTGGGCAGAAGTTGCATTCGCCCACGATGTGTGCACCTCGGTACATACACGCATGTCAGACCACGATAGAGATCCCACCCAGCCTTACACTGGAGATTTTCTAACATACTCGCGCGTTCCTCTTGTCTGCGGACTATCTGGCAGACCAGGATGCCACGGTTGGTTTCGCAGATGGCGTTTAGTCGCTGATTTTTTAACCGTTTTTTGCTTAAGATGTTTCAGTTATACCTTAGGCTCCCTTATCCCCCTTCTCACTCATCACACTGGTTCACTGTACTCGTGTACTGTCTGAATGATAAAAAATGAATAAAGGCATATTTCTCGAGTTTTCGAGTAGCTGATCCCACTAGGTGTCAGATCATTATGTTTGTTCACTAATTTCATGCTCTCGCATGAATTACTTAATCATATGTGCCCCATGAATTCGGTGTCCTACTTTTGCATCCTTAACGCGCGGCCTGAATCGAGATTCATGGGCTCATGTGCCTCCCCTAGACTCGGCAAATGTCTCAGTTTAGCAATTGTGGAACTAACACTTATTAGCTGGCTTTTGGCCGAAGTATCACAAAGCAAAATATGTCAGGCACATGGAAGACAAAACTGTATTCTACCCAGCATGTTGTACACTGCATCGATCCACTATTCTAAATTAGGCCAATCCTTGAGTGGGTGATCGGGTTACTGACACATGGCAGCAGATGCAGGCAACAAATAGGAAGGGCTCAGTAGATTGGCCGTGAGGATGCCACATTCCTTCTCCCTTTAGTTTGGACCACTCCAGCTAGCTTGGTATCGATCGACGGGTCGACGTAGCCGAGTTGAACGACGACATTGCTGAGCCTCCGGTTGGCCTGAGTTTCGAGAGTTCTGCGCCTTTGTCAACTCAGTATGCTGGTTTGAGGACGCGTCATCTGGTGGAATTGAAACGTAATGATGGCGGACGTGATCACTGTGTCGAGTAACTACCCTGCCATCAGGTAAAGCCACCTCCGCACGTTGTTCCGCAACTTCGCGCAACTCTCCAGGCTGCCAGGTCGTTTCGTTGGGCAACTTGACGTAGGCTGGTTCACTCTCCCGGAATCTTCGATCGGAAGCCTTCTGATCGTACTCTGTCTTAAATTTATCGTACCCTCGACACGTATTCTCTGGTTAGGAAACAGAAAATCCAGCCGCGTCCTCAACCGCCGTCCGAACATCAACTCGCATGGGCTCTTCCCAGTAGTTTCGCTTGGAGTGGTACGGTAGCCAAAAAGAAATTTGTCCAACTTCGTTGGCAGTGGAGCAGAGGCTTGTTTCCGTAACCCGTTCTCGACCGTCTGGACGGCTCTTTCAGCTAAACCGTTTGAAACTGGATGGTGAAGGGCTAATTTCACATGATGTAGGCAGTTGCTTTTGAGAAACTCTTGAAATTCTTGACTAGTAAATACGAAACCGTTGTCTGTTACCAGCGCATGCGGTATACCGAAAGTACTGAAACACGTCCGTAAGCAAGAAACGTCGTCTCAGAAGTGGCATGTGCAAGTGGAAAAGCTTCTATCCATTTCGAGCAAGCATCAATCAAGAGGAGAAACCATTTTTCATCCAACGGGCCAGAAGTTTGCGTGTATACGTTCCCAATGTTTACTGGACGATTTCCAAGGACTAACTAGTACAGGAGGGATATTCTTCTGGGTGCTTTGACACACATGGCATTGTCGGATCAATTTCTCGATATCTCTGTCAATATTAGACCACCACACATAGAACCGCGCAAATGCCTTCATTCTCGTGATTTCTGGTTACATTTCGTGGATTTCTTGTATGACATTCTGTCGCCACCGTGGTGGTATAATCGCTCTAGATCCCCATAGCAGACACCTATCCTCGAGACTAAAGTCTGTGAGTCGGATAAAGAAAGGCATTAGTTGCGGTTCATAACTGTCAGGCTATTCTTGTGAGACTAGACGCATGACTTTGGCCAGTAATATATCCCGTCCAGTTTCATGACGGATATCTGCATTTGACACCGGATTTTCGCCCAAATCTTACAGCAGGTGGACAAACTCCACAGGTTGAGGTACGCAATCTGGTAGGTGATTCAACGGTAAACAGCTCAGAGGGTCCGCGATTCTATTCACTTTCCTAGGAACATAGGCGATCTTGTGATTGTAAGCGGAGAACAATAAAGCCCAGGGTTGTATACGAGGTGACACCATCTGGTTTATGCCTTGTTTCTCCAATCAGAGTTATCATAACCTTGTGGTCAGTAAAGATTTCGAATTTTTTCCCCACAGCTACTGGTGGAATTTCTTGACTCCAAAGATAACAGCTAAAGATTTCCTGTCGAGCTGCGCATAGTTCTTTTCCACTGGTACCCAACTTCTAGACGCAAAAGCTATTGGTCGCTCTGTCATGTCTTCCATTTGGTATGACAATACGGCCCCGAGCCTTGTGGGTGACGCATCGCAACGAAGAGTGATCGTTTTTTAGGTCAAAATGCACTAACAACTTAACGTTCCTGAAAGCCAATCTGACAGCATCGTAAACTTTTTGTTCATTGGACCACAGCCACCTGGTATTCTTACGAAGTAAAGTATACAATGGTGAGAGAAGACTAGCCAAATTGGGTAAGAAACGATTGTAATGGGTTACCATCCCAAGAAATGATTGCAGTTCGTTAATATTTTGGGGTGTTGGAGAATCCAGAATGGGTTGAATTTTTCCCCATAGGGGATGTAACCAGTGTTTGTCCAAAGGAAACCCCAGATTCTCAACAGTATCACAAAAGAAGACACATTTAGATTCCTTGTGTTTCAGTCGGCCCTCCTGAAGACGTTTCAAGACTGTTGCAAGTGTTGTCATATGGTCATAGTCGGTAGGACCAGTAACCAAAATGTCGTCCAAGTAAGCACAAACTCCGGCTATGCATTTCACTAAGTTGTCTATAAACCTCTGAAAGATCGCCGCCGCACAATATATCCAGAATGGTAATCGGTTATAGCGGAATAATCTCATGTGTGTATTAATCGAAGTCATTTCATTTGTGTTGTGCCACATGCTGAGGTTGATGTTGCATTCTTTATGCTTCTTCACCGCAGTTGGGCTGAACTAACTTACATTTAAACTTGGTCATTCTAAGCTGGATAAATTTCATTCCACTTTATTTGGTTTCTTCTGCCTACCTGAATAATCTTCTATTAACTTGCACTGGTTGCTTACGCTTATTGTGCTTATCTTCATTAAGTTTATCGCGTTCGTGGCATTTTTTGAATAACGTCTGAACATTTTGTAACTATCGCGGATTCGTTGCTAACCAACTTACTTCATATGTTAATTTAGCGAAGAGTTATGTCGGCATAACTGTATGCTTTAACATATTTCTTTTATTTGACAATGTCATTTCAAGTGATTGGCTGTTGTTTGATATCCCCGGTGTAGCTGCGCTTGATGTGTATGTTGACAAGGTGCCTACCTGTCTATTACCCACTACCTCGTTCATACTGGCTCCAGGAGACAGTTGGTCGTTGCTGGAGGGGACGGGGTGCACGGTCCTTTTGGCCGTGCTAGGCTCAAAGAGCGGTTCCATGCACTCAGAGTGGATCGGACTACGCTCCAGCCACTGCATTGTGCACACTTGATTCCCCCAATATAGCGTGCTTGTGTTTGCCTGTGAAGGAGTGTGGGCCGGCTCCGTTGATGAAACGTGGCTCCCATCCACATGCCTCCCGGTCTTATTCCTTTGGGTATACACTGGATATGGGGTGTGTGGTTGGAGCTGTGGGTGGTGCAGCGCAAGCCACCCATGGTCCCACTGTAGGCGCAGGCGTCCTGTGGCTTGCCACAGTGACAGGCAAATCCGAAAACGGATGCCACCAACCACTCCCTTTGTGGATTCCTGTAGCTCCACTTGAGAATATTAGCATGGCTTAAATCAAGTTTCGAGAACTTTTGCGCACCCGACAAAGTTGCCTAAAGGTCATCTATCCGTGGAATCGGATAATGCTCCGTCCTCGTCTCTTGACTAACTGTCAGTTTATGGTCGCCGCAACAGCCATCAGCTGTCTAATCTTACTTATTATCTAAATATGCATCCTCTGAACGGTTTAGTGTGGCCAGCTGCTTGGTGCCGATAGAGCTCTATCGGCATCAGATGAAACTGCGAGTACTCATGAGTAGAAGGATTTGGTAAGATGTATTTAGTTCATCGCGGTTAACTTAGATGCCAAATAGGCCAACAACCCATCTGGACAAAAGCACCGGACGACCGTTTCCTCTGCTTGAGTCCCGTCAGTGGTGGGTAGTGTAGAAGGACTCGGGCTGTGTCGTAGTTTGATTCCAATCCGTGATGGTCGGCTATCGTCCCCCATGGCTCAGTGGCATAAGCTGCTGGCTAGTGGTGCAAGTCACTAGTGGTCATGGGTTCGATCCCCAGCAGGTGACCGAGTGAATGCGCATCACTGGTGAGTTCCAAGAGGACGGACCGGTGTCTGGCGCTTTTCCAGTTTGATACTTGGCCTTTCCGTCTTGTAATATAACTGCGACGAACTAAATGAAACTTCGATTTTTGTTGCTTTCGGTATTCATCCCCGGCACTAATTCACATTCCATAACCGGCTTTTGCTCTTTTCTGCACCAAATATAATAATAATAGTGTGTCTACTGTACGCTGTAACGGCGCCGCTGCCTCAAGACCACCACCAGCCGCGCTCGAGCTGAGTGTACCGCAAGGACGCTCACCCCCTACGCGGATTCGAACCGGGGGCCCGATGGTTGCAAACCAGGTGCGCAGACCACTCAGCCACCGGCCGAGGTGGAAATAGCTGGAGGTGGGAATCAAAACGGATACGCAGTGCTCTTAAAGCAGAGGACATCATCGCCACTCTACAGGCTTTCACAAGCATCGCTTGCTACAGAAGTTATAAAATTCCTTTTTGAAGGTTTTTTTGGGGTACCCACCAATGTGCTCGAATTCCGGTGCACTGTTACCACTCCGCCTCATGCTTTCCAGCGAAACGGTCATTAATCGTGATGATCACAGAGGCCGTAACTGCGAGTATCTAAACATAACTCTTGCTCGCTCCCGGCACTGCGTCTCATGGTCCGCTCATCCCTGTCTGGACTTCTGGATATTGGAAGTGAGAGCGGTATGTCGAGGCTTTTCGGAGAACGACTGCCATGTTCGGTGATCAAACTCCTTGATCGACGCTCCTCCCAACGGTCAGGAGATCCTCCGGACCTTCGTTGGAATTGAGCAGCTTAAAAAATACCTGAGTCTACTTTGTGAATCTGTTGGGGCACACAGTTCTTAAAAGTTGAAGTGTGATTCACTTTGAAGCGAATCCTATTCAATACATCCAGTAGGGCTGTCACTTAAACATATAGGTGTTGCCCGCTCGCCCGACAACATTGCACTTCGCTCTGCGTTTTGACCTCCTTTGATCTCATCAGGCAGAAATGGCAGGCACCGAACTCGGGATCGTTGGGATGATAGTTGGAACCCCTATTCCTTTAGACACTGAGTCACGACGGGTAACGTTTGACACGACGGTTAACGACTGCTTGAAGGGATCATTTTGAAACACTTGTTATGTGAGTGGGATGCGACGTGTAGCCTCAATGTGGGTGTCCATTCGTGTTGTATTGGAGGACTTCCGCCCATTCGTCCACTGGGATCGTAGGTGAATCGGGTTAGGTGTTGCTCCGCCAAACCCTGACACTCCACAACTGGTTTCGTTCTCGTTCGGATTCCTCAGGTAGAGATAGCATGAGCACAGCGGTAAGGAGTTCAAAGCTGGATTTGGAGTACCCACTGTGTGTTTGGATTGCGACACGCAATCTCGATTCAGACTTCGGCTCACTTTGAACTAGACTTCAGTCATTCCGATCATAGGGACCGTATTTGCAATGGAGATGTTAGGTTAGGTATTCTTGCCCGCCCGAAGGCACTACACCCCACGACGGGTTTCGAACTCATTTGCACTCACCAGGTCAAAGATAGCAACTCGAACTCGGGATTAGTGGGACTACCAGCTGAACTCCTTACTCCTTTAGGCCATTGAGTCATGGCAGGTAACGCTTATCAGTACGGTTAGTCGCTCTTTCTGGGAGGTCGTTTCGATTCCTCCGTCGTGCGAATCGATGGCGACACGTAATCTCAATTAGGGACCGCGTTTTGTTTTGAACTATGTCTCAGTCAGTCATTGTCCGAGTACTTATTTTCAACTTTAATCTCGGTCCGGATTACGATTGCGGATCCCTTGGACGGGAATGGAGGGTAAAAATGGATGACTATCTAACGGACTGGTATTCCACCAGTTGTGTACCCCAACCTACAGTGTTGTAGCCCATTTTGTTCCTGATTCACCTCAACGAAGTACCTCAGCTTTTTCGGTCGCCCCGTGATTGTTTACAGACGGCCTGAAGATATGGGGGTTATTGACATCCTTCGGCATGACCTTGATCTCCCGTCCAGTTAGTCTACAGAAATCGATCTGCCGGGCAACCCAGTTAAATCGGTATATATGAGTCTCGGGAAGCGTGTTGATGGGAGTACGTACAAGCTGAGCGGCCAGCCGCTACATCAAACACCTTCCGTGAAGTATCTCGGAGTATGCTCACGCTGCGATTTATAGTTTATAGACAACACGAACAAGCTATATGGAAACGGATTGCGCATGCTTTGGGCGCTCAAACGCAGCTCCTGCATTTGGTCTGAAAAGATTGCCACGCACCATTGCTCCTCCATCGTAAGACTGATGTTCGAGTACGGATCACCTGCCTATTGTCTCATCACTCTTGGCGAGCTGCAAAGACTGGAACGTGTTCAACATGTGGCTAACAGGCTCACCCCCAGTTTACAGGGTATGCGGTACGAAGACCGTTGCAAAAGACTAGAGCTGTGCAGCCTGTCGTATCGTCGGTTTAGAATTGATCTCTTTGTGACGCATCGGATATTCCTAGTTGTACCGGACCTAAAGCGGATGGTTCATTCTCTATGCTTCGAGCGCCAAGTGGTGAACAGTTTGCCTGCGAAAATTGTCGAGGCGAAATCGGTATCGGCGTTCAAGCAATTCCTGGACACACACTTTGCGGATTTCACATAGAGGGGGGAGCGCTTCGCACCCGAATAGCATGCAGCGAAGCTGTAATAGCAGCAGACTCTCAGGCCTCAGTGACGTGTATCTGCGCACATGCCCGAACTGATTACGATGGACCAATAGACACATGTCTATTAGCTGTCTATTTTCAGTATTGAGTAGTCGCAATGCATTCATACAGCAATTGTTTCAAGATGACCTTCACTTAGTTACTCTTTGTGATAAACGTTATTCGCGACTCCATGGTACATTGATGATGCCTTTAGCGGGTAATTTTTACGCCCAGGTTCGTTTCGTGATTATGTCATATCTAACTTACGAGTGACACTTTACACACTGGACGGCGGTCTCATCCATCAACTGTCTGTCCGTTTGCTAGTCACCAACAGACGTGTCGGTTTATAAAAACCCAATTTTACCTCAGTTCTCTGATTTGAACTCGCGCATTGTTGTATCCTTTCATTTGTGGCCGTCAACAAACTCGGTTCTCCTACAGAGAGTGGATTCCCACTCTGAACCTCGGCGCTACGCACTCCTCAGAAATGCTGCATCAGTTGTTCTATTTGATGATTCTCTCTCTCTCTCTCTCTCTCTCTCTCTCTCTCTCTCTGTATCTTTCACTTCCGTCCGTCAGAATCGGATGGGGTGCTCCGCAAGACCTGTGTCTGTGATTTCGACGATCCCTCTGCCGATGGACGCGTCGAATGGGCACACTGTGTGTACGATGCCAATTATCATCCCTGTCACGGTTACAGCATTGAGTTTCAGTGGGTGGTTGCAGCGGGCGCACGACTCTCCGAGCTGGTGAGTGACATCTTCCCCCCTTTGTTGTTGTTGACGTGGCACAGCATATGGTGTGTTTGGCGGATAGCCGGGACGCGCATCCTAACGCGCTATATTCTCCAATGACGTCACGCTTAGGCTAAGAAACTTCCCCCATTAAATCCAATCAAGCGGCAGCTAACTTGCTTTTGTCCTCATTCTGTCTTCTCCTATTGAAACACTGGTGTTTCGATTTTGTGTTCGACTAAGTTAAAGCTCTCCGAAGAAAGTGGATTTCTTCTTACCACTCTACTTACGCAACTCATCTTCGCAAGATTGCTTTGTCCCATCATTGGCTACTGAAATGAGTGGCCTTGTATAAACAGGTTCGTTCATTGCTCTGGACACAATCAAAAAGCAAGCACACATCTGAAGAAGCGTTGGACTGTCGTTTGACTCTCTTTGTGATCGAACCGCATAGAATTTCGAACTTGTGATCCTCCTACTCCGGTGAACCTGTGGCTGGTATAACTCTGCAACGGGAACCACCAGCGGTCACACAGTTGACAGTGATGTCGCGTGACTGTCCTGCGGTTTACCTTTAACATGGCTGACATGGTTATCCACCAAAGACACGAGCTACCTTGTAGGACGCTGGTCATCTTATGCAGTTACGATAAATCTCGGATAGCCTCTGGTTTGGGGCAAACAGTAACAGCAGGGGAATTTGATAAACCTTCAACTGATCACTTTGAAAACTTTACTGCGCCTACCGCACACCTTTACGGAAACAAGTTCTGTTCAGCAGGCTACACTCTTTCCCAATTCTCTCTTGTATTCTATCATCCACAAGTATTCGTTCGCTTGCGGAATCTCACAACGCAGACGCACTGAGTCCTCCTTGGTCAGGAAATAAGGCTGACTTGGATTAATCACACGGTATCTTCTTTCCCTTTGGCAGTCGTGAGAATGTCACATCCCTTAGCAAGCGCCCTGGGTCTCCACAGTGCTCTCGCAGGACTACATCAGTCGATCGCGCTAACCTTTGGAGCCATTGACCACGAGAAACATTAAGAGAGACGGGCACGTAACTGCTGAAGTCATTGCCCTTGGCAACGTCTGCGGTACCAGAATAGGATTGCTCCGTTGGTCTTAGAGATGTGCGCAGGGCCACAGCGGAGTCCGTTCTCAGTGACTCTGTAACTTGGCCCATTCGATCTGATGATTTTAGACATACTTCAGCTGAATGGTCATCGTTACGGATGAAGTGTGGTTAATGTTGGTTGATGCCGATGTGTACGCGTTGGACAACTAAATGAGATTGGTCATGTACGACGTACGCCCAATCACTTAGGAGCACTTTGCGTCTTTTGCAAGGTATCGGCGGTGATGTAGAGTTCGAGGGAGTAGCCCTTACACTGGTGGTGATACATGAAGCAGCTGGCCCACTAATTTGCTTGTTGTAGGCTCGGTCCGCCTTCCGGGCTGAAGCTCACGCGACCCTCTGTATGTAGCACCACGGATCCTTACAGGAAATGACCACTGAACAGCACCATCACTTTATCGGATTGCCAGTGTAACGAATGTCCCATACTAAGTTGTCTGCCCGTGACGCTAGGCAGTGAACACCGTAGGGAAGCTGTCTCTCTCTCTCTCGAATGGTCTCCTACCTGCAACCGTACACTCTGCTCTCCAAGTGTTGGCGCCTCAATCCTGAATGTTCGCTTGGGACCTTTGGATTTCACACTGTTTCCCTTCTATCTCTTTATTTTTCCGCTTGGTGCGGTTATAATACTTTTATAGCACCGGAGCATCGGCGATGAACTCTGACGTATTGGTGGTGATGACGCTTCTAGCCGGTTGGTCACATCGGCCAGTCACGTGCAGCATCAGTCAGCGTGTCAACCTGCAGTGATTTTTGTCGATTGTGGTGCCTTATCAAGTGCTATCGCTTACTACTACCGTTTCATTGGTTTCGGCGCGTTCATTCATAGCTTTGGGACACCTTGAGTGATTGAGTTTTCTGCATCCCTGTACGCGCTCGTCTCCGCAGTTTACGCCGTTATATTTGCAATAGAGGTTAGAGCACCGCGGCTCCCTCGAAATTTGTTCTGATTTCTTTTCTAGTACATCTCGTGTTGTTGCTCTCCCAATTACGAAGTTAGTGCATCGCTAGAACTTAGGATCTATCGCTCTAGACACTGTATCAATTGAATTGTGCTCTGTGGTTAACCAGGAGAGATCATCTACAGACAGTGTCCACTCCTTCTTGACCACCTTTCGGTCAACTGACCCTATACGATTGCATTACAAGGTTGAGTTTTGCCCGATGGTTTTCACTTTTGCATATTTCCTTCCTTCTCATCTTAACTCGCTCCCACATAGGAATTGTATGCTGCCTGTCGGTAAATATACGAATTTCTCTATTCATCTAAGTCTATTACGCCGTTAGAGATGACCAGTGCACATGCTCCCATTGTATCACTTTTTATTTGTTGTTGTTGCCAGATTAACATCTGGCATCACCGCGCCAGCACAAACAACTTCCATTTCTTCCCTGCCCCATGCTTCCCGTTTGGGTACTCTGAGATCCGGTCCGACGCGGACCCTCTACGTATACCAGTGTTTGTGCCCATGGATCTAACGGCCCTACTTCGGCACTCGGGTTCGTACGATCAGGAAACATCCACCTCCACGCAGCATGGTCGATACGGTTCCGGTACTGTCAATATCAGCTCATCCGACATACCTCCGTCAGGTTTCGTGAACGGAGAATGCGATCCAGTGGTGTTGGCCTCCAAACTTTTTCCAGGTATCGTTGACACTTCCGTAATTGCTTCTTTTCAGATCTTGCCATCATTTACGTTTGCACTGATGGTCTATCTTTCTAACTGATTCGCTCATTTCAGTTCTACCCTCTACGACGAAGACGACTTATCTCCCCCGCCTTGCACTCGCTCCTCGATAGATTGATGTGGTGCTCTGTTCCCGTCGTACGCATGTGTTTCCTACCTACAAAGTGCAGGACGCCGTTACAGCAGGTCTGGACTGATATGCCAATTGTTCTCACCATTACCGAACAGCTACTGGAAGCAGTTGATCATTTTCCTCATCTGGGTATAACATGACCGGGAAGATTACTGCACGCATTTTCAAGGCTCACGTGCCTTTACAGAACTGATGAAATCTTTGGAAAGAGTACTATGCGCTTATTCGCTGTTGACAGTGTTGCGACTCAATCATTTTTACGGCATGAATCCGCGTCACAGTCACTCTGTGTTTGCATAGTGATACGCTCGTGTCCAGTAGGAGCACCAGTTGGTGTTCTCGTACCGCTCTGGTTCCCCCCCGGGAACTTTGCTCTTCTACGTTGGTTAGGTCTGGTTCTTTGAGTTACACACGGATGCGTGGATCCTCATTTCGATCAATTGATGGCGTGGAAGAAAACGCGATACTAAGTCACTGGATCGTAAGGGGTTTGAATCCAAAAAAATTCGGTGGATGCGCGCGGCCCGTCGGCTGGACGAAACCTCGGCCAGCGCTTTCTGCACTTACAATCCTCCCCTCTTGTTGTCGGATAGTGACCGAGTGGTTCAAGCGTCCGGTTTGTAATAATTCGCAGGTTTGAGCCTACGTGGGTGCAGACGACGTCGCTGTGCACCCAGCCCACATGGGATTGATGGTGATCATGAGGCAGTGAAGTGTCGGCGCGATGTGCCCCGGCTTACTTTCTTCTGTCGTAACATCTTCACCAAACAGGCACTAGGCAATTACCTTCAAATCATGAGCGCCACTATCTCTTCACATCCTGTTGACATAGGGTTCACTCAAGGTCCAACCCACGCTGCGACACATCTTTGGGTTGTGTATACGTATTCTATACATTACTGCGCTTTACGCTACGGTGGTAGAATTCCACAGCGTCTTTGATCTGGTCTATCTGAGCCCCTACCTGATGTATGCGGTCACCACCAGTCCGGATTAGTTCACATTGAAGCAGTCTTTACGTATTACAGAGCTTATCTGAACCTTACCGAAGTTCCCTTTTCTTATACTATGGCCACACTGACTGTTTGCTCTTCTTAAATGCGCACCGGATTCCATTCCATTAGTGAACGTTTGTGCTGATCAGTTCAGTTCAGTTCAGTTGATCAACTATGATCCGAGCACCGAAGTGCGGTGGATCCAGTTGCCACGACTCACATTGTAAGAATGACCATAAACATCACCGGTAGGATAGTGAGGTTGCATGCGAATAGAATGTAAAGAAAGTGAAAGCAAGAAGAACATGCGCGTTAGACCAATCAAGACGGAACGAATGTTAACAACCAGATGCAGGAAACCGAATGTAGGAACGCCACTGACTTCGTGACTGTGCCATGTCTGACAAGGTGTCCAACCAAGGCCCGAGGGGCCCATCCAGGAAGACAGCACGCACCAGCCTCACCGAGACTGTCAATCAATTTCTTCAAGCTTCTATGCCATGTCATGGACTGGCCACCTCGCGGTTTCGCCCACCTTGGTGCAGCCACAGCGTATAATGTACACCGAGGAAGCCGGTCAACGGGTATGTTTAGGTGCTCTATAAGCAACGCAGATACAGATTTCCCATGTCATCCGATGTTCCTGAAACCGTGGTGTATACAGTAGTCCCTCAATAGCCGCTTTTATATTTTTCACAATATGTAGTTCAATTGAACAATTATGACCGGGGCTAGACCAAGTATTAGGTATCAGCAACACGCCGGTACGCAGTACTCACGCTTCGCTGCCGCGCAACCACCATCACTCGCGCGTGAGCTTAAGATATTACGAGGGTCACCCAGTCCCCATGCTGGTTCGAACCCGCGCCCTCAGATTACGAATCAGGTTTGTGATCCTCAAGGCTCCACCCCTGCGCTTTCTGTTTGCAGCCTTCACTTAGCAATCTCACGTAGGAGTTAGAACTTTTATTCTCAGAATGAGCTATCTCCTACTGCTCATTGTCAGCCGCAGAAACATCAGATCAGACATTTCTACCTGTTGGGCTCGTGTTAATCTTGGCGCGTCATGGCTACCACTAGAACACATTTTCTTAATCAGTGGTGCTTTTAGGTAGGGACATCTCATTCAAACTGCCACTCCTAGTGCTAAGCGATCTTAGCTTGATTCGTTCTTGTACGCTGAGTGCCAAATTTTTACATGAAGCAGAAATGTGGACCGCGTCCTCTCAAATGCGACACGACAGACGGCCCATGCAGACACCGTCTCGGAGAAATTTAGTTTGCGACACGATCTCTCGCCTATGTTAGTTTTATGCGACATTAGATGATGTTTCTGGAAGTCCCCATAAACTGATTCAATTGAACAGTTGCTAACCACAGAGAGAGCATACCAATTCTCCGGAACTAGTCGTAATACACGCTTCCAGCCCGGTGAAAGGGCTTGACGCTGTTGACCCACTGTCGTGGTCGGAAACTGGTGTCCCTCGGAACGATATATCTGCAAACGTTTTAATTGCATAGCTATATGCTAAATGTTGCACAATCTATTGCCCATCAGACGATGATGTCTGTCAACTTGAGCAACTGTTTCCTGATCTAGTTAGATAAGTGGATTACCCTCCTCATGGGATTGATATCAATGCAGTATGAGCTACGCCTTGTATCACAATTTACTTCCTAGTCACAGCGGCCAACGCTATCCACAGTGACCTTGAAGATCTGCCCGCAATTTTGTATCTTGCAATTGGACAAAAGAATGCTCATTGCTGGCGGATACCTGAGAGATATAACAGGTGTCCATTGCTTGCCTTGGCCACCGTCTGCTTCGTAACTCATCGCTGTCGCCATCAAGAGCAGCACATAAACAAATTCATTAATTAACAGTATATCTTCTGGTCGTGGGAGGCACAGTCCAGCTGAATGGTCCGATCATAGTGTACTGCTCTTTGTAATGGTACTTTGCTACTATCTAACCGTAAGGCCCCTTCTAATGAGGAAAACTAATAACACGGGAGAACGAGATGCCAAGTGAGTGAGCAAACTGATTGCCAACGCGCGCATGTTCGCCACAAAGCGTGCTTGGGACAGATCCCACGAGGGTATTGCCACGACCCAGCCGAAAGCGGATAAAATCGCGCATCCGATATTATGCGTGTTGCCAAGGTCTCACCGGAGGCTGATGAAAACTGGCGTGCTCGAGCAAGACGGTGAACTGGCCAGGCGGAGCGGACAGTCAAGTGTGCAGCGTGGGCGTACGAGGAAGACAGGTAACCAAATCCGCCAGGCGGTGTTTAAAGGATTGGTGAGATCGACCTATAAAGTGAGCGTTCTCGGTTCTAATGCAACTCTGGTCGGCTGAGTCTTCTTCTGTTTTCCTTCCTGTCGGGTTGGCCAAGGCGTCAAGCAGAGCAGGCGTAAGGGCGCAGATTTACCAGCAAGCGTGAACCAACCGGTCGATTGCGGGTACAGCGTTATAACACATGCTCTAGACACACACACACATTATGTGCTGAGGTGTCTGCACTTGTCAGCCTCACACGGTCATAAGCCGCTGATTTGTCATTTAAAGGTAAAACGATATCCATTAGGTGTGATTTCCTTATCGCCTTCATTGCACTTCGCCATAATCAACAATGCTCCGCAATTAACTCAGCATCATACACTTAATCAAATAATCCGGCTAAGAGACAGCAACATTCGTGCCGTGGTGAGTTGCTTGGACCACATGTGTGAAAAACAGAATGGACAAGCAACACCCAATCAAGCAGTCTGTGGCGTCACGGTTCGCTACAGACTCAACGAATGCTCCCCACCAAAACCCAGATCCAACACACTGCTCTGAATACACTTTGTTGTAGTGGTTCCCATCTTGATTGCTGATTTTTCAAGCACAAAGATCACTAAGAATGTACCTTTACCCTTCAGAACTCCCCCTTTCCTTCACTTACTCTCCTATGACCATCCAGGTAGAGTCACTGTGTAGATATAACCTTTTATTGTGGCCTCCCAGCCAACTTTTAACATACCCCTTCCTCTTGTGTTGCACTACTGATGAGTAGTATGTGTGGAATCAAGGAAGCGCAAGGAAATCATAAATCGTGGATCGTTGCGGACGAAGAAAGCGTGATGCATAAATGCACCTCCATCGAGCCCTTGAGAATGCAACATGTACTAGACGAGTTATGTATTAGAGAACCCATGTCTAGATATTATTACAGTTGGAATATAGAACCTTGAGCTAACTTGCGCAGATCCTCCGTGGTACCTTTCTAACTCGCCATTCCGCTGCGCCCGTTCTTTCATGACGTATCGGTGGAGGCAGATTTCTGCATCGCGCTTCTTTGGTCAGCTGCGATCCACGTTTTCTCTGATTTCCTTGCACCTCCTTGTTTCCACACATACTACTCATTAGTAGTGCACCACATCCTGCCACATCACTCTAAATAAGCCACTATTTTCATCCAGCAACCTGAAGTGTACAGTGGTGTTATCCCTTTCATCCCAACTCCTGCTGCTATGTTTCCATTTGGTAGGTGACTCGTGTGCTCAACGTATCTACGCGCTGCGATCCTTCCAAGACTACCTGTTGAAACGGTATGTGTTCCCACATCAACCATATTGAGCTGCAGGCCAGTTTTAATACACCCGGGCTTCTTGCCTTGAGCCGGTTCATTGCCCAATTGCATTTTAATTGTCGCTAAAATTCTTTGTTTTTATCCTCCATTGATGTGATTGGTCAATAGAGTCCCATCTACCACTGCCATATTATGTCTGATTACACCATTCATCCACTGTCCAGCTTCCGGCGTCCATTAGCAGTAAGTCACTACGCCGGGCTTTCTCTCTGACTTGGTCGGGCTTGTAGACAGCCGAGGAGCCCGCTCGCAGTGAGCGGAAAATGGACTTTTCTTAGTGGAGCCTGTGTATTCTTGTCCCTCTTCTCCGTGGACCTGCGTTGTACAGCGACTATAAGGCGCCTGTTAATAAATTTTGGTCTTCAGCTCTCACAGTAACAACTCCGATAGAGCACCACCGATTTGTCCTCTATCTCTTCTGAGCTCCAGTAGCCATTCTGGACCAGCGAACAACCACATCGGTTGCGTCGGTTAAATTATGCTTAAAATTTTAGCGCTGTTGCTCTGTGGACTGCCAACAAATCGGCCTTGCTCCTCCCGACTAAGCTGAACTTAGCATCTGGCGGTGCGTGGACACGTTACTGATAAGCGCGTCCGGTTTGTACGAACGTCTGGAGATTGGCTAAAACCACCTGAATGAGTTGACCGAATCACGGTGCTTCTTGGATAGCTGTGTGACCCGATCCCCAGCGACGAATCGCCTTCCTCTGATGTTTGTTCCTGACTCTGTCCGCTGGTGGAGATAGGAGAGAATCAGGCTGTAATCGAAGAATCGATACCGTGATGCAACCATTATGTTAGCCCCATAGCTTGCTGAGTATGATAAAAGGCAACCGCTCTGATGGCTTCATTACAACTAGCTATGCGCATCGATTGGTTTTTTGACTGGATCTGCCATGCGATAACGCTATCATCATCATCATGGTGTCGGCGGTAGATGAAATAAATTCATTTATACGAGCGCATATAACAACTCGTATTTTACTGCGAAAATATCCTTGCGCCGTGTGGAGGGACATCTACCTATATTGTGGTTCGCTGTGTAGATAACTAAGGCAGCACAATTTTGGGGTGGTGGAGCAATGTGGTGCTCCCTTGCTTTAAGTGCAAACAACAAAAATGGAATTTCAGAAGGACTTGAAGGCACTCGGTTCATCAACAACAACAGCAGTATATCAGCCATTTGAACTGATGCTTCGCTGCCATACAACCACGATAACCTGTGAAATAAAGAATAATAAGAGGGAAAGAAGGGGGACTTACCTGAAAACCTGAATGCCCTAAGCAAACATTCAGGGCCAAGGCGCCTACACTTTGTGTAGACAACATGCCGTCAAACAGCTGGCTATCGTGCAAAGATAAGGCGGCGTCGGCGAGACAGCTTCCTTGCGGCTTTCACTGCCACGCGTCATAATCAGCCATTACCCCGCAGATAACTCAGCACCAAACACACTTTAAACAGGCAATCCGATTAGGAGACGGTAGCAGACGCGCCACTGGTATCGGTTACGAGCCATGTCCTGTAGAGTCTCGAGCCAAGCACAAGGCGAGTCACGTGGACTCCAGCCCGGAAGACGAGACAGACCAACGGCACTCAGTTTGGTCGTCAGTGTCTTCAGTTCCCGTTGCCAAGTCAACTTCTGTCCACCGCGAGCCTTGCGCCACCCTACACCTGGCAGACTACATAAGGCCCTCCTAGGTAAGCGGTGACCAGGCATACGTAGCACGTGCCCGAGCCAACGCAACTTATTCAGTGCTATCTGTTGTTCTAGGGAGCTAGCATGATTATCACCACCTAGTACTCGCCTACGAACATCATCGTTGCGGACACGCTGGTGCCATCCGACACCAGCAATGCTTCGCAAACAACGATGATCAAAGACTTGAAGGCGCCACAAATCGAAGGCGCCAGGTCTCACTACTATAGAGCAGAACGGCCCTCACTGTGGCCTTGTATACACGGCCTTTCAGACGGAGGGAAACTCCCTTCTTTCGCCAAAGATGACGCAGGTTCAAGAAGGCAGCTTTGGCCTTTGCATTGCGTGAACTGACTGAGTTTAGTTTCTATGCGCCCATAATTGCTGATGCAGCTGCCGAGGTAAGTGAATTGATCAACCACCTCGAGTTCC